ATCCCCCTGGGTAGAGTGCCATGGCATCACAGCTCACAGCAACCTCCAACTCCTGGGCTCAAGCGAGTCTCCTGCCTCAGCCTCCCAGGTAGCTGGGACTACAGGCGCCCACCACAACGCCCAGCCATTTTTTGGTTGCAGCCATCATTGTTGTTTGGTGGGCCCGGGCTGGGGATTAGAACCCGCCACCTTAGGTGTGTATGTGGCTGGTGCCTTAGCCGCTTGAGCCACAGGCGCCAAGCCGGGATTGTCTTTAATGAAACAATAATCTAACCTCTGGTTAGCATGCACACCTCCGGCCACTCACCTAAGCAAAATCCTCAGGGAAGAGGGTTATGACACTCACAGCCCTAGTTTTCTTGTGTACTAGCTTTGTTTTTAATTAGCTTTTGCCCCTGAGCTACCTTTCTGGACCTCCATTTCCTTGTCCACTAAAAAGATCTTCTGAAAAGTTTCCTGGCCTTCACCTAGGGAAAACGCAGCAACTGGGCATCAGCTGGGGGCAGTGTACGCTGGCCTTTGCCCAGCCAGGCAAGTGCCTGTGACATCCTCTCTTTGCTATGATCTTGGCCAACAAGGCGTCATCAGCTCCAGACAAAGAAACCTGTCCTGGGGAGCAGAAGTAACTTGTATTTGCTACTTGGTCATTACCATCATCTTTAAAAGTCCAGCCCATAGCATCAAGTGTAAACTTTGCTTACAACATAGTTAATGTTTCATTTTCATCAGCTCCCTACACAGAATCACTTTTGGATAACAGAAAGTAAGACAACCAAAGAATGAGAGGGATCAGTTCACAGAAGGCATAGCTCTGAGCATGGCCATGGGCCTGCTGCTGGTCACAGGGAGGGCAACTGTCAGTCACAGCCTGCAGCCTCAGGGATCTCAACATGGGTGACTGCATCAGGATGAATTAGAGTTCATATTTCAGGGCCCTCCCAAGACCTGTTGAATTCCAGTCTCTAAAGGAATCAGCATTGTAAACAAGTTCTCTCCATGACCCTGAAGCATGCTAGATGTGGTAGGCAGGATAATGCAGCCCCAGCCCGAAGATCTCAGCCTTAATTCCTAGAACCTACTAGTGCTACCTTATCGGGAGATGGTGGCTTTGCTGATGTGATTATATTAAGAGCCTTACTTGGGGAGATTATCTTGGATTATCTGGGTGGACCCAATCTCATCGCATGGGTCCTTAAAAGTGGAGACCCATTTTCATGTCTGTGGTCAGAGAGAAATGTGACCATGTGGGCAGGTCTGAAGGATGGAACCCAGCTGGCTTTAAAAATGAGGGTGGGGGCCATGGGCTAAAGAATTCCACAGGTCTCTGGAAACAGCAAGAGGCAAGAAAACATATTCTCCCTGAGAACTTCCAAGGTGTCAACTAGGTTTTGGTCTAATAAGACCCAGGTCAAAATTTGACCTACAAGATTATGAGATGGTAAGTTTGTGTTGTTTTAGGCCACTAACATTTGTACAGCAGCCGTCGCAAACAAAGAAACAGACTGAAGTATAGAACCCCAGTCTTGCTGAGCATTCCCAGGATTGCAAAGTGAAGTCCTGCACCCCGGGTTGATTTGGCCACCCAGCCATGTGCTCTAACACAAAGGCGTGCTCCAGGCTGGACGGGGCTGTGCTGACTCTCAGAGCCTTGGGGAAGATGCTCAGAGCAGGATTTCTCTTTCTCCCAAAGTCAGCAATACTTTCTCAAGGTTACTGCAGTGTACTTGACATGAGAAGAATATTGTAAGAAAGGGTAGTGTGTTCAATATAGTTTGTCTTGCATGCTAGGAAATTTTAAAAACTGCACCAAATCCAAGTCATCCTAGTGGCCTTTGTTCTGCAACCCCAAAGAATAGAAATTCCATCATGACTGTCATGTGCGTCTGTCTTGTTCCCTGGTTTAAGCTCTGGCAGCAGGTACATGCCAAATAGAGATAATGCATTAGATCAGTGCACAGAGGAAGAAGCACCTGTTCTCTGAAGCATGGTCACAGCTGCCACCTGGGCTGAGGGCAGATCCTTGAGGTAGGAAGATCACAGGCTCCAAGTCACACAGATATGGAAGCCAACAGGCAAGTTAGCTATGGTCCTGATCAGTCTTCTCACCTCTAAAAAAGGGGCATTAAAATATCCCCTAATTCACAGTGTTATGAGAATGAAATGAGCTAATGCCTGGAGAGAATAGAGGGACAGTGGCCAGCAGTGGAGACCCAGCATAGGTGTCAGTGACTGCTGTTTTCTGCTCACCTGCTGTGTGAGAGCCACTATTCCATCCACCATAACTAGGGGGACAGAGCAGCTGTTCACAGGAGAGAGAGATAGCACCAGCACCTGACTCTGGATCCTGCAATGCCAAGACCAGGGTTGTCTTAAGACCTTGTCTTGTTTACTCTCTGGGAGAAATCACGAAGACCCAGCAGGAAGCCAGGATCCTGTTCTCCTGCTGTGGTCCTATGGGCAGCCTGGCATCCAGAAAGTGCCCTCCTGCCTCATCCCTCCTCCCTACCTGGATCACTCCTCCTCCTTCTCCAGCACTTCCAGCCAAAAACGCCTCCGGCAGCTTCAGCATCTTCCCAAGCCAGTCCATCATCACCGTCTCCAGTTCTGTGCATGCGGGGCTGGCAGCCTTTGGAGGGCAGAGGAGGGATTGACCAAGGGTTCAGGCATTGCAGAACTTGAGGGGCAGCAACCCCATATTAAAATCACCCAATCTCAGATGTGATTGATTTCAAACATGTGCTTTTTGACCAAGACTCACGCAAGGAGAATGGTAATAAACCTTGCTCCACCGTGCTTTGCTACACTGGCACCACGAGATTGCTCACAGGTTCATTGTTTTATTTCTAGAAAGATCTAGAAAGTCCACTGGTGGACTCTCTTCCACAGTCACCAGTGAATGGGAGAAGTGCTGTACCAAGTTAAGATCTGGGCTCCCAGCAGTTTTCACCCTCTGGGCGTCCTTGGAGAAGCTCCCAATGACTTTGCTCTGTGAACTCTCCCTCCTCCTTGCACACAGATGGTGGTAGGTTGGCTTTGGGCCCATCAAAAGAGGGATTAAGCCTCCACTTTCCTCAAAGTCTCCACATAAGGCCCCTACGTGGTACTCAGGGCACTCCTGGGCCTAGCTGTGCACACGGACGTGGAGTATATCCTCTCTTCCTGCCAGCCCCACCTGCTGGCTCCTGCCCTCACCCAGTTAAGTCTGGCTCTGCTAGGACTCTGTACTCCCTGCCAGGAAGCATGGTGTCAGGCAGTACAGCCTCAGAGACCGCGAGTCACCCTCTCCCAGCCCGAGGGCAGTCAGCCTATCCTAGAAAGAGCAGCCACACCTGGATACTAATGCCAAGCCACCTACAGGGACAGTGTGGGTCCAGATTGCAGAACTAAACAAAATCTACTGCAATGACTATACCATCCAATGAAAGAAAATGTCCATTAAAGATGATGTGCTTAGCCCAGGCCCAGTGGACATAGAGACCCTGGGCCCCCGGCCAAGGAGTGCACAGACACTGTGGTGAGAGCTGCAATGGCCTCGTCAACCCTGCCCAGAGGACCTGGGATGCCTGGCCACCCAGGTGCTCCCTGTGCCCAGCCTACAGCACAGCAGGTGCGGGGCCAGTGAAGCAGGGTGGACTCGCTGGGCTGCTAGACCCATGACCCACATGCCCACTTTGTGCACCTCAGTCCTCCATGCTCACAAGCCAACATGCAGGAGTCCACCCAGCTCCCGGGCACAGACAAGGAAGCTCTCTGGACCTCGCAGGCCAGAGACACACCCTGGCCCTGAAGAGCTCTCTACAGTGTGGGAAGCCGAGGCCTCATCAGTGTGCCTGGAGGAGAAAGCTGCAGAAGAGCTGGCCTGGACATTTACCTCCAGAGAGGGCAGGACTGGCGGTGGGGGAACAGAAGCTGGGATGTTTCTAGAGTCCCCTGCCCTGAGGCATTCAACACGTCTGATGAATCCATGAGGCCTGTCCCAGGGCAGCATGTTTTCCCTAGGAGATGGGGCAGTAGGGTTTCTCCTGCTTCTGAGTGTAGAGAAATGGTCTAAGCCACGTGGAGGAAATGTGGATTCCCAGGCTCAGACTACAGACCCTGTTGGGCCCAGACTGCGGCTGTAACTCATACCAAGTGCTTCTAACACACTGCTATAGAGAAGTGGCCTTGAGTTGTTGAGACATCTCCCTGTTCTGAACCTCTCCCCCCTTCTGGGTGCCCTCTCAGGGCTGGATCCTTCTCTCCTCTCTGCAGTGGTGGCTCAGCAGAGAGGAGCCACCTCCCCTCCTGTGTGCACAAGCACCATGCCCATGTGGGGACACCCTACCCCCACCCTGGGCAACCACTGCTGGGCCCTTGCCTGGAGCCCCTGGACACTCACCCAGGAGAAGCCAATGCAGCCAATGGCCCCACACAGCATGTCGGCGAGCATGGCCGGGTACGAGCTGGCTGTGGGGAAGTAGGCGAAGAAGTAGGGGCTGTGCCAGTGGGTCACCTGCATGGGGGCAGGGGACAGAGTGGTTACTCAGCGTGCGGGAAGCCAGCCCACCTGCCCGTTAGTACTGTTCCGCACATGTCAGCACCTTACTCTGCACACGTACCTGACACCCTTCAGTCCCTACTTTTTAAAAGAGCTGGAATACATTTGCTGGCTCAGAAGGAAAAGTTATGTCCCTAAAATGAAGTGGAAAATTATCATTTGCCAAAAGAAGTGAGGTTTCTAAAAATGACAGGGTGGGTTCAGTTCTTACCAGGACTCTCTCCTCAGGGGAGGTGCGGCCCCTGAGGCTAATATCTTTGTGTAAAAAACTTAGCTTTCCTAAAACTACTCTAAAAAATCAAAGTCTCTATTAAAAACAAACCCCAAGTGCCTCCTTGTCAAAGTTTCTTCAGTTAAGCCCCCAAACCCATGTGGTCTCCCTGGAACCAGCTCTTCTGGGTGAGCCACTCCCTGTGGCCAGGCAGCTCCTGGTCACCGTCGGCCCCTGCTCTTCTGCTGCCCCCCAGCCTTGAGGCTGTCCCCCACTCCTGCCCTGGCTGTGGGCCTCCCACCTTTCTCCAACTCATGAGGAGAGGTGAGGCATGGGTGAGGCATGAAGGAATGGGCCAGGGGAGGAGGCTCATAGGACAGTGACAGCTCCCTGTGGAACGAACACTTGGGCGCCAGGAGACAGGGCGGTAGTGAAGCCACACCAGGCTGTCAGGAAGTGAGGGATGTGGGCTGGGAAGGGTTGCATTGTTAAGAGGCAGCAGCTTTGACATCTGGGCATTTGGGAAGAAGACAGGAGAGGACAGAGAAGGAGGTGTACCCCATCTTTGCCTCTGTTGTCAATGATGTGCCTGCTGTGTGAGAACAGAATGCAGCTTTGAGGTTGGCCCTGACTCCAGAGCAGCGAGAAGTACTAGCCATTGTCATTCACATCCCACCTGGGGGCTGGAACCACCCTGTCAGTGTTCAGCAGACCTTGTGCCCCTACCCGTCTTCCCTCCTCTCTGTCCCAACTGCACCTGCTCATGTGGATTGAGCGGTGCTGGAAACACCGGGGCTGCACTTTCAGCAGGGACTTGGGTTTGCACCTCCCTGGCCACCGTAACCCCTCAGGTTAGTGAAAGACTGCTTTGGCGTTCCCTCCAGCTCTGCAGTGCAGAGCCCCTGCCCACCTCAGGACCCCCCAGGGGGTCTGTGCCTATGTTCTGATGTCACTGGCTGCTGCAGGCTGAAACTTTGTGTCCCTCACACATTCATATGTTGAAATCCTACCAGTGATGTTAGGGGGTGAGGCCTTTGGCAATGAGTGGGCAGTCAAGGTGGAGCCTCCTGGTGAGATGGGAGCCCTGGATGAGAGCCCAGCGAGCTGGCTGTCCCGTACCAGGAAGAGGGACCTCACCCAAACCTTGAGCTCACACTCCAGCCCCCAGAGCTGCAGAACTATGAGGAGTAAATATTTGTTGTTTACAGCCCAGCTGTGCACTTTGTCACAGTATCCTGAGATGAGACATTGCCATTTCACAGTCTGGGAAAAGAGGTGAACATTTCTTTCTAGATAACACTAGCTATTAAGTCCACAGTGCCCACGAGGAAGCACATGTGACCCCCTACTTGTGAAGGTGGCTGACTGGGAGAGCTCACTAAGGGCTGGGAGTGACTGGAGGGATTACCCAGGAGGTGGGAGGCTGGGGGAGGCCGAGAGCTGAGAAACTGAATGAAACATTCAGCACAACAGGCCCCGGGCCCACAATACTCTTAGGGGCTTGGAAATCAGATGAAAAAAATGAACTTTCAGGTCAAAAAATATCGACAATGTTAATGTATTCATGTTCCTGCTGATGCACTAGTAAAGTGTGATTTTTTTATATTTCTAGGAAGAAAGGAGCCCACAAAGGCAGAAGTGCCCAGGGCTGGTGCGAGTGAGAGTGTGGCCCTGGCCCGCCTCCCCCTCCCTTCAGCCCCTGGAGGCCCCACACTGCCTCTGAGTCTCCCACTACCTGCCTCTGGGAAAGCACAACAGCGGTTGCTGATGGGGACACACACTCCCTGGCCTCACCCTTTACTGCTCACTACAGCGTTTGGGCTGGGACGGACTGCCCTGGCTGTGCACAGGCCCCCAGAGACCTCCCTGGCTTTCCGCAGTCACTCGGCCAGCACCCAGGGACCCTGCCGCAGAGCCCGTGGCCTCCTCACTCAGCACCGTACAGTGAATACCCCCATATAATGGAGCAGGAAGGCTGGGGATTCCCACCTCCAAGACTCCCCTGCTGACATTTAACCGCTGTACCCACCAGCGGTGTTATGCTCAGCAGCTTACTATGTCTGCACTTCTGGGCAAGATGGAAATCTTGTTCTTCAGTCAAAGCACAAATGCCAAGTAAAATCCCCTGGAAGGATGGGGTTCGAGTAGCATCATGAGAGAGGTGCTCTGATATGAAGGATCTGGTTGTGCAGGTTAAGGGCCTGAGGCTACGTGGCCTGTGACCTGGGTTGACTGGCTGCTCTCTCAGGGTCTCAGTGATCTACCTGAAAATGAGGGAGCGGGTGCAGATGGTCCCAGATTCCTCCCCCTGATTGTCAGAGCTTGTTTCCATCATCCTTACAACTACTGAAATGCCAGCTGATGGAGGCAATTGGCGGAGTCATCCAGGCTGGGACATTGCCCATTGTTGGATGAAGTTAGTGTAGCCACATGGAATGGCAGGTTTGGCCACCCTCACAGGCATCCCTCGTCTGGAAGCCGGAATGGCCAGGCCAGCCTGCTCACAGAGCCACGTTCACTGACAGGCTTTTAGGCGAATTCCTTGTCAGAGGAAACCTTATTGCAGAATCATAGAGCCCAGGTGAAGTTCCTCTGAGAGCCAGCGCTCTGCTCCCCTGGGTGTGAGGGAGGCATGGCATCCTGTGCACTTGTGCTGGGTCCCTCTGTCCCTCACATCCCAAGCTGTGACTCTCTATTAAAGTGAATAAAACATATGTCCCATACATGAGCTATGCTCTTGCTGAATGCAGGGATGGTAGGAGTGTGCTTTATTTGGAATAATTAACTTATTTGGAACCAGCCACCAGGGGCTGATTTCGTCTGACCCACCCATGGTGACACATTCCATGAGAAGGTGTCTCAGGGCTAGAACTGGATCTCCAGGGACCTCAGAGGAAAGAGCACTGGCTGTCCCTGGAGCCCAAGTGATCTGGGTTGGACTCTGGCTCCATCGTTAATGAGCTGTGTGACCTAAGGTGGACCACAGTCACCTCAGCTGTGAAATAAAAATGGTACAAATTTCTCTCCAACCTGGCAATAATAAGAATTCCTTGAGCTAACTTGTACAAATGGCCCAATGCCCAGCTGTCCTGTGCTTGGACCTTGGGTGCACACATACCCCCGGCATGATTATCTTCTCAATGTCACTGATGATATCCTCAAACGTGTCTGGCTCCTGGGGGGCGGTGGCAGGGATAAGGGGCCGCAGGTAGCCGGGCTCCACGTCAGGGTAGACTTGGCGACTCTCGATGCCTTCCATGTAGTTCGCCACGTAATCTACCATCTCTTTCCCCCTCCTTCGAAACTCACTTGAATTCATGGTGACTGGGCAGAGGTAAAAGCTACAAAAAGAGAGAAAACAGTTGAGGTGGCAAAACTTAGAACCTGCACCCTGCAGGTGGGGGATTCTAAGCTGATGGGTAGGAACACCTGGAAGTGACCCACACAACCCGAAGGCCTACAGGTTCCAAGTCAAGGCCACCTGCCTTCCATGCCAGGGCAAGGTGGAAATAACACTGGATTTGACTGTGGATAAACACCTGCTCGGCTCTCCACCAGCTATTCAGATAAGGAATAGCGTGTTGCTTTATTTCATTTTCTGCTTCAGTAAAATAAAGCAGAAGCACACACTCATTTTCACAGTCTATTCCAAGTTTAATGATAGACATTGTTCCAAGTCCTTCTGCCACTTCCTAGCCATCAGAAGGAAACGGGCCTACCACTTGGAGCCTCTCTCTTCATCTGGGAAGTGGCAAGCACGGTTCGGCCTGGGACAGCATGGTCCTGTCAGAGGTAGGTCTCTTTCCCGTCTCCTGAGCCCATCACCTCTATAAACAATCTGGTTATCAAAAATGATGCTGCCCCTCCCCCCATTGCATAAGTAATAAATTGGTGGCATTTATTGGTAATAAATTGGCATCATTATTGGTGGCAGTGATGTTCTATAGACATTGCATGAACACGGAGTCAGAGAATACTGAACCGCTCCTCCTGGGGAAAATTCAGGGTCAAGTTCCTGAAAAGTCAGCCCAATGTTTTTGTGAGACATTGACTATCTACACTTTTCATGTGTGTCTTTCAGAGGCAATTCTTTCCACCTTTATGCTTCCTAGGTTCACTAGGTTCACTACCCCTGGATGCCAGCAGCACTCTAGCTCCTGCCTGACACACTCATATTCTGGCACACGAGTATTTTCTCTGTAAGGCACTGCATGGCCTCCTTGCACCTAGGAGCACTAGGCAGCACTTATGTCCCACGTTTGGGGGCCATTTCAAACAGCAAAATAACCAGGAAAAGAACACATGAAAATGTAAAGAATATGGCACCAAGTAGCCCAAGAAAAAGACACTTTGTTGGCATTATGGGCGCTGAAGCAAGAAGGCAGAGCTTTGTTTTGTGAGACCTCGGCCAGGAACATGCCCTGAGGATGATGGTCAATGTCTTCACCATGCGACACGCGCACAGCTAGGGACAGTCACAAAGGCACCGTGAGTATTGACTTGAGGGATTACATATAAATTTTAGCAAGTAGAAGAATTTGCAGATATGCAATCTGAAAATAATGAGGATTGACTGTAGTTTCAAAATAGGACAATTGAACAACACAAAGAAAAAGATTCACCTAGAATCCCACTACCCCCGGTTCTGGGCTATGTCGTTCAGGAATGGTTCCTATTTGTGAGGGACAATTGAGTGGGAAGCAAGGGGTGCATTTCTCAATTCCTCTTGTGATCCAGAGCCTCATAGTTCAATATGAGTTGTATTCAGTAGATCCACCTCTGTCATTAGAACGGTGACAGCCCCTGACTTCAGGTTCCCAGGCCTTCTCTGTTTTCCCTATTGTCCCTACTGGAGTTTTTGACAATTTTTGAGGTTATTTGTGTTAAAGAAAAAGTATTCACCAGACACTTATTAGAAATGGTGAGAAGGATTTAATTCAACCCTAGAGCAGTAGGGACAGAGCATCACTATAGGGAAGAGGCTGAACTCAACTCCAAACACAACAGGGACAGATGGGGATTTATGGCCGACAGGCAGGTGACAGGGTCAGAGGATGGAAAATTGCTAAGAGGAACTTGGGTAGGTAACGAGGGTGAGGATAGAAGGAATTTGGATACCAAGGGTTTGACTGGACATCAGCGGCGGGAACCCTTGACAAACTAGCTCAGCAGGATACTTTGCTAGAACTGGGCCCCACAGGCCAGGACGGAGGTTAGTCACGGAGATGGAGCAGAGAGGCCTGTCTGGGTGTGGCAGGAGGAGCCCTGGCCGAGGCAGGACTGTGCCAACAGGCTTTTCCTCCACTAGGCATCCTCTCTGCTGTGTTCACTTCAGCATGTTTTATGCCAAATGAACAGTTATGCTGGGTTTTAGGTTATTTCAAGGCCTATTATTAGATGCAATTCTCATTTTAAACCTCTTTTTTTTGGAGACACATGGTTCAGTTGGTGGATGCCTGAGTGTCAGTGACCAGGACATAAGATAAAACTCTTAAATAAGAGCAGAGTGAGTACCCAATGAACATCCAGCTGTCTGAAATTCCTCCCACCTTTATGCTTCCTTTTTAAAATTTGTTATTCTTTTTTATTTTTCATTTATTATTTTGAGACAAAGTCTCACTTTGTTGCCTTCAGTAGATTTCCATGGTGTGATAGCTCACAGCAACCTCCAACTCTTGGGCTCAAGTGATTCTCTTATCTCAGCCTCCCAAGTAGCTGGGACTACAGGTGCCTGACTCAACGTTCCAGCTATTTTTAGAGACAAGGTCTTGCTCTTGCTCAGGCTGGTCTTGAACTCCTGAGCTCAAGCGATCCACCTGCCTCGGCCTCCCAGAGCCAATGACCAAGGAGGGCCCACTCAGCAGCACAATGTTACCACTACATTGTAAATCATCTGGTTTATGGACCATAGGGGCCTGTGGGCTTTGGAATTTCTAATTTAAGTGACTTCACCTATTGCAAATTTGGCACATAGAATGAAACTTTGTTTTTACCTCACATGAAAAAAGTTCAAATTAACGTGATTCCAATTAAACTTAAAGATGTATAATACTGCAGGTTTTTTTGCTAGCTTTTTCACTAAGTAATTATCACGTACCTTTCTCATTGGATACGGACTTTTCTATTAAGTAATTTCTCACAATCACATGATATTTCAGATGGGACTGTGACATATTCACTGTGTACACCTTTATGATTGCACGTTGAATCATTTCCGGCTCTCACTTGAGTCAGCTT